CTCCCTCTTTCTCTCCCTACTTTCCTTTCTTCCCTCCTTCCTCCCTTCCTTCTTTAGTAATGCCTCACTAGCAAGGCTCTTTAAATGTAAAACAGGAGAAATAAAAAGATTCTAGTTCGGAGACTTCCTCAGCTCAACTTCCTTGCCTGCAGAAAAAGAGAAAAATTCCTAGAGTCGTTTTTAACAAGTTGCCATTTATTTTCCTAAAACTGTCAAAAAGAAGAATTTTTTAGATAATTGAATGTCTAACCGTCAAATGAAATTTAAATATAAAGCCTATAATGATTAAAATATATGATTACACTCAGCTTATTGAATCTCAGAAGAATTACTTTGTAGCTCTTGTAATAAATCAGAGATCTTCAAACAGTTTATATTTTAGTTTATAAAGGTTATAAAAGTTCAATTAAGATAATTTAGAATATAACAGAGAAGTATAACAAAAAAATTAAAACCGACACTAGTTTCTCATCAGAGAGAACCATTTAGATGTTGCTTCTTTCTAATTTTCTTTTTTTAATGCATAATATGCCTTTTAAATAAATATGTTTACTACTTGGCAGGCATGTACAAATTATTAAATAGAAAAAAATTACAAATAATGACTCTAGTGATGGAGTAGTATCACAAATTGGGAGAAATGTTATGACTCGACCAAGCCTTTCGCAGACACTTTTTGTGTGAACTGACTAAAGGTATTTCAGTGATACGGGCAGAGTCAAGCGGGCTTATTCTTTTTTGGGAGGGGATGGGATTGCTTTACGTATTCCTTCTAAGATGATAGAAGATTTTGTTGCTGTTTATGAACATGGACTCTAGCTTCCTTCTCTGCCTTTGACTACCGCAATCGGACTTATTCTACACTGAGATAGTCAAGCTTCTGGGCAAGCAGGGTGGGGAGCAGAGAGACAGTTTCCTTTTATGTTACATGACAGATGCCACATTTTTCTGCAATAATCAACAAAAGAAGATTCCTTTCTCAAAGATTCAATCTGAAGTTCTCCTACAGGTTTTTACCAAAAAGTAGATAACTCAACCTTGGCATGTACAACTGTGATAGGCAAGATTGAGTTCAAGATTAAAGCAATGGATGACAAGTGCGTACTCTACGCTGGAAAATCCCATCAATACAGAAAAATAATGAGCACCAAAGCCCTCTAAATTTTGTCAAGTGGTTTTACGGCAATTCTTCAAGTTGGATTTGACATTAGAGTAATAAAGCCAATGTTCCACATCATACCCACCTCACCACCTGGGTTCAGGTTCACATGGGCTAAAACATGACAGCCAGAGCAAGGAGAACATTTGTACATTTACATTTTCCTCTCGAGTTTGGAACATGTCATTCCAAATACCGTTAGCTCAGATGATTGGGTTATCTGATGCCTGTTCAAAATGTATCTAGATTATGAATTGAAAACTGTTCCGAAAACCTATTATAAATCTCATTTACGTTTAAAGCAGAGTCAATTTGTTCAAGTACCCTGATAATTCAAGCCTAAAGAAATTCTTTTTTAAAAAAATCTTTTAAAAAATCCAGATGTTGATCTCAATTTTTGCTTCATTTCCATTTTAGAAACAGGAACTGTGTATACATATCAATCACTCAGTAAATATAAGGATTTCTTTTCTTTTTAAGACATGAAAATTCTATGCAGTGCTGAATGTTTGTAAATGTCATTCTTTTGCATATAATTAAATCATTTATATGATCATCTTTAAAGTTCAGGTACTGTATAAAGTTCAGGTTTCTCTATAAAGACATTTGATTATCTCTTGACTCTTCCAGACGCTTACTTTTGGTGATGTGGTGGCTGTCCGCCACTATGAGAAGGCATAGAAAATTCCTGATCTGGGACAGAGGAAGTCCTTCCATTTTCCTGCTCACTCAAATCTCAGAGCAATCAATCCTGCTATTACAGACCGACTGATCACTAATTAGAAGGTTATTCTTGATGTGCAGCTGGAAGATGGTGATTTAAAAGGTGGTAATTCCAAGCAACTTGCCTAATTTTAATCTGTAAATTTATCATGTTTTATGAGTCAAATTGAAACTTCATCATCTTTTTAAAATAAAGAAGTGAGTAGTACATTTTGTAATTCCCTTTGGAATGCAAATCAAATTGTAATAAATATTTTACATGTGAAATTGTGTTGTTTTTAATATCATTTGTCTGGTCAGAAATTGTATATCAGAGAATTTTATTTAATTAATTAATTTATTTTGAGTCAGAGTCTCACTCTGTGGCCCAGACTGGAGTGCAGTGGCACGCGCCCGGTCACCGCAGCCTCGTCAACCTGCTGGACTCCAGCGATCCTTCTGCCTCAGCCTTCCAAGTAGCTGGAACAACAGGCGTGTGCTACCACACCCAGCTAAAAGAATTTTAAATAAAATAGCCATTCTTACAGCATAATGTGAAGATGGAAAAGTTAGCACCTTGTTTAAAATGTACATTTAAAAAAAATAAGCAAAAGACTTAGAAATTGTGAGAACGCCACAGTTTTCGTTGAGACTTCTACAAAGAATCCATGATGATCAAGTTCATTTGGCCAGAACCCACAGAAGCTTTGGGTGGTGGTTAAGGCTACAGAAGTGGTATCTGAAAAAGCAGAATGAGGTACTTCAAAATGTCTTATTAAAAAGGCAAATCGAATCAAAGTTTCACATTACCCAAATTTCTTACTGAAAGGCAAACAGGAAAAGGGAGTGGATTTTATTCTGGATTGCGAAGTTGCTTCTCCAGACAACTAAACTGAGCTGGGCTAAGTCAACAGGAGTGCCAAACAAAGTGCTGTCATAAAGCGTAAAGACACTGAAATCTCTCTTAGGGGAGGGTGACTGAGTTGGCCAAACCAAAGCAGATGTTTGAAACTGGCTAGGGTTTGCATTGTAAAGTAAAGCAAACAAATACAACTTTGTATTTCATCATTTACAAGTGATTTTTATACATTTGTCTCAACCCCACGACACAAAGCAAGAATTAAGGTATGGCATTTTACAGAGAGGAAATTGAAGATTAGATTTGTGTGTCCACATTCTCATGATAAACCTTGCAGTTTTTCCTTTTATTTTCTCTGCAAAAGTAATAGTTCAGCTAACTTTTTTCTGAAATGAAAATGCAAGATTTTATTTTTCCTGGTCATTCCTTAGGAAAGCTTTTCTCTGTTAGCCTCTGGGGGGGGGCAGGGGGAGATGGTAAACATTTTTTAGGACAAATATAAAATACGATATTCATTTTTAATCAGCCCAGTGATTACAGTAAATTTTTATAAGTTTCTTCAAGGTTCAATTAGCATATGAGGAAATTAACTTTTTTTTTTAAGAGATGGGGGTCTTGCTAGGTTGCCCACACTGGTCTCGAACTCCTGACTCCAGCAATTCTCCCACCTCAGCCTCTGGAGTAACTGGGACTGCAGGCACACACCACTGCACCCTGTCTTAAAAAGCATGAAGCAGAAAACGAGTAGGGTGTTGACTCCAGTCGTTTGGGCAACCACCATCTCTGCTTCTGGTGGAGGGCTGTTGAACTTTTTGTGATTTCAGTCTATGCTCTTGTGGAAACACAGGTGCTGAGCTTTCTCTAAAGATCCAAGGCCAAGGATGGGAATTTATCTTCAGCTTATTACACCGAGGCTACATAACATTCCATTGGCACCAATTTACATAACGGCTGCCCCACGGAATGAAGAATGGAAAGATTTTGGAGTGGCCTAAATAAGAAACAAAGATGCAGTGGGCTTTAAAAGACCATGGGAGCCGGGCTCGGTGGCTCAGCCTGTCATCCCGCGCCTTTGGGAGGCTGAGGCGAGTGGATGGCCTGAGCCCGCGGGTTCGAGACCCGCCTGGGCA